TTTGTGACTGGCTTATTTTACTCAGCATATAATATCCTCAGGGTTCATCGATGTTGCAGCATAGGTCAGAATTTCCTTCCTTTTTAAAGCTGGATAATATTCCATCGTACGTTTATACCACATTTTGTTTATCCATCCATCTCTTGATGGACACGTGACTTGCTTCTACCTTTTGGCTATTGTGAATAATGCTGCCATGAACATGGGTATAAAAATATCTTTTTGAGATCCTGTTTTCAATTCTTTGGGGATATATACCCAGAAGTGGAACTGTTGGATTATAAGGTAATTCTATTTTTAATTTTTTGAGGACCCACCATACTGTTTTCCATAGTGGCTGCACCATTTTACATTCCTACCAACACTGCACAGGGATTCCATTTCTCCACATCCTTGCCAACACTTGTTATTTTCTGTTTTTTAAACCATTTTCTAAATTGAAGTGTAGTTAATTTACAATGTTGTGTTAGTTTCAGGTGTACAACAAAGTGATTCACTGAGTTATATCTATTCTTTTTCAGATTCTTTTCCATTATAGGTTATTACAAGATACTGCATATAATTCTCTGCACTATACAGTAGGTCCTTGTTGTTCTGTTTTTTGATAGTAGCCATCCTAACGGGTATGATAGGATTTGCTATTTGCAGTGGGATTGTTGAAGGAAATGGAGTTCCAAAGTATGACCTTTCTCTTGTCCTTCTATCTTTCCAAACACTTATTCATCTTTTCATACAATAGACCATCCACCAATTTATTCACATATTCATCTAATCATCCATTCATTCACCTTTCTAAGTGTTCTTCCTTCCCCCTATCAAACCCTCCATGCATCTCCCACTGACGTATACATCTAATAAATATATGCTAAGCATCTTTTACATGCCAGGCACATTGCTGGGTGCTGCAGAGCGAATAAAACACAGGTCGTATATCTTTGTAACAAGGGAAATAACTAAAATCTTAATAGTTAGGATACGATGTAGAAAGTAACAAGAAACATGAGACCCGGAACTCTCTGCTCTCTGGCCCTCAGTTTCCATGTCTGAACAATTTGCAGGAGGGCTGGGCTTAAGGAGCCCTCGTCCACCGGTCTGTGATTTCCTGTGAAGGTTTTCTTCTCATCCCTTGCGTTCTTAATTCCTCATCTTCCTTCTCTTATCTTGATCTTACTTCTCCTTCCCTGGGGTGAGCCCTGGCTTCAGGCAGGGGTTTCTGCTCTGAGGAGAAAAGGTCAACTGAATGACACTTAAGGCTTGAATTTTGTGTGTGTTGGGGGGGAGGGGGGCGGGGGGTTGTTTTAAATATCATTTTATTTTTGTCCTAGTGACATGCAGGTATTAGTGACACCAAAAAATTGAGTTAGAATAGAAATGTGTGGGCAGGACTTTGATCCCAGATTGGGAGCTGGTTTACAGGGAGGAAGTGAAAGATTTTGGTAAATGGGTAATTGTTGGCTGGATGAATGAAGGCTCAATGATGGATGGAAGGATGGATGCATGGATAATGGATGGATGGATTAAATGATGGATGATGAATGGGTGGATGATGGATGGATTATGGATGGGTGGAAGGACGGATGGATGGGTGGATGGATGGATGATGGGTGGATGATGGATGGGTGGATGGATGGATGATGTTGGATGATGGATGGATGATGAATAATGCATGAGGGGTAAATGATGGTAGACAGACAGATGGATAAGAGCAGCCTGTAAATTCTCTCTGTCACCAAGGGCCTTACTTAAAGCTTTCATTAGCAGTCTTTTTCCTGAGAGGTGGTATGGTATAGTGGTAAGAGTTTAGTTCCTGGAGTCATACATAGGTGGGTTTGGATCCTGACTCTACCAATGACTGTCTGTGGACAAGGGACTTAATGTCTTTGAGTCACAGTTTCCTCATATGCAAAAGGAAGATCATACTATAGTGGCCACCTTGTCAGAGCTAAGGTGAGGATTAAATGAGATAATGTGGACTAAGTACTTAGCATAGTGCCTGGTACATAAAAAACACATTAAAAGTTAACATTTATTGGTCACTTAATCAAATATTGATTGAGGCCTAGTATGTGTTGGGTGCCTAACAGGCTGTAGAAGGGAGGGTCCAGAGGTATCTCCAGATATGCAAAGCACACTATATTCTTTTGAGGAGCAGAGTCATGCTAAAGGGGCATAAGTTGCCGGATAGTCTGGGTGGCCTCTTGAAGTGACGAAAAGGGATAAAGCAATGCATTCATGAACAGTCATCCAGAAATGAGGTCCAAAGAGCCCAGGAGTGCTGACCTTTGCATTAGGATGGACTCCTGGCATTGTGTTCCTTCAGAGGGCCCCATCCTTGGAACGTCTCTGCCTACCAAACAGACAGCATTTGCTACATAAATGCCTAAGCCCTCAAATCAAGGGTAAAGGCAAGGTTTCCATTGGGCTTTTTGAAACCTTAATTGTAGCCCAAGAATCTCTGTTGCAGCTTTCAGGGGACCCTGGGGCAGGGTTCCAGAGCCTCAGTGAGCCAAGGAACTTCCTTAGGATCCTCTTAAAGGCCAGATTCCCAGGTCTCCTGTTGGCGCTGATGATTCCGTGGGTCTCCAGTGGGCTGGGGCTTTTCCAGCCCCCAAAGTGACTCTGATGAGGGTGTACTGAGACCTGCTATGGACAGTGCTGGCCTCAGGCTGGGCCCACCAGAGTGAGCCCATGGGTCTCAGGAGGAGCTAGAACAGAAGTGGGGAGCAGGAGAGAAAGACAGAACACAGGGGCTCCCCAACCCAGAACTGGAGTAGGTGTGAGCATGTGGGGTTGGTGGGCAGGACACGGCATTCTATAACGATCTGGGCACTTGAGCCTGGGCAGGAGAAAGCAAAAATGGGAAGGGCCAGGAGCGGGGCTGGAGGACAGTTCTACAGCTAAAGAGGAACCTGGATCCACTCACCAAATCCCAGGGCCCCAAAGAGCTAAAAGACAAAGCCAACCCTCCCAAAGCAAGTGGAGAATGTCTGGGTCTTCTTAACTCATGGCAAGATGAAAGTACAAATTCAATGTTGCTGTGTTTTGTTTTCCCTTCAGATTTGGATAATTTTCTGAAGGAGAGTCAGAGTTCTTAAGAGGATAGGATTTACTCATTCATTCATTCATTCCAGAAATGTTTGTTCAGTGCTTACTGCGTCTAGGCACTGGGAATACAGAGGCGAACAAAACCAGTCCCTGCCCTCAGTGCAACGCTGGGCCCCCAACTCCAGCCTCTGGGAGAAAGTGACAGTCAGGGCCCTCAAACTATTTCTCTGGGCCACAGACTAAGGTGGCAGGGAGCAAGGGAAGATGAGGAACTCACACATATTAAAGCATCTGCTGTTTGCTCAGGTGCTGATTTAGGCTCTCGAAAGAGAGCATTAAACATTAATAATACTAATTACCATAATGATGATGAGAGTTAATGTTCTACGGAATCTTCTTCTGTGTCATGTTCTGTTCTAAGTGCTTTGCGGGCATTAGCTCATTTAATCCTCACAGCAAGCCTACGAGATGGGTGTAATTATTAACTCCATCTCGCAACTGAGGCAACAGGCATAGAGCAGTAGAATGACCTGCCCGGTTGTCACTCAGGGCTAAGTGGCAGAGCCAGGATTCGAACCCAGCTCTGGCCAAATCATGTACTTTCTCTCTCCTATGCCATGCAGCTTCACGGAGGTGGGAGCCTGGATTGTGGGTTCAAATGATTCCACACGTGGACTGGACCTCAGTAACCACTCAGTTGGGTCTCTGACTTTTGCAGTGGGGAATCAGACGCTCAGGGAGATAAAATATCTTGTCCAGGGTCACACAGCAAGGCCCCCACAGAGCAAGATTCGAAAGTGAGTCTTCTGATAACCAGTGCAGAGCCAAAACAACACATGTCATTTCTTAGGGATGTGTGAGTATATGTTTGTGAGCAAGAAACAGAAAGACACGCACACACACACACACACGCACGCACACACACACGCACGCACACCAGCCAGGTGATGGGCCCCCTACGGGGCCCTGTGTTTGTCCTGGAGACACCAACCTGGCTTAGCACCCTGTACACTCCCTCTTTGGTCACACGAGAAAATCCCTCTTGTCACTTTATCACCACATCTTCTTTTGGACCCCAGGAAGTCCTCAGACATGTGGCAGTTTTTGTTCCTGGAAATGGTGCCCAGAGAAACCGTGTTGAAGGCCGGCTCCAGTCCCAGGCAGGGCTCCCAGTGGCACGTAGCTATTCCCCAAACTCAAAGCCGCAGACTCTGAAAGCACCCACCAGGGAGTTTCTGGGAAAGCCTCGGGTCCCCGCATCTTTGCTGGAACAAAGGTGGAGCTGCCCAAGGACATGGCCTTGCGGGGGCAGCACCGGGAGCCCAGACAAGTTCTGGCGTGTGAGGAATGTCAGCCCTGTGACTTTGCAGTCACACCTTGGCCGTGTGACAAGGCTGTGAGCTGTGAAGGTGGGCAGCCAGTCAGCTCAGGGACCGCTGCTGGGTCTTGGGAGGAGAGGGGACTCAACATTCCCCAAGGGCCGGCTCTGGGGCTGGAAGGTTTTACAACTGTGAACTCATTTATATCCTCCCGGTAACTGTTATCCCCACTTTATAGGTGAGTCAACGGAGGCCAGAGGGGTCCAAGCATGCGTTTGAGGTCACACACAAAGTAAACGGCAGAGCCAGGATTTGGACTCTTTGGCTCAAAAGCCTGCGTCCTTGCGATCGCACGCGTGGCAGGGTAGAACGGTTGTTGAGAACAAAGCCTTTGCCTCGGACCTGGGTCCCAGCTCTGCCACTGATGAGGCCTTTGACTGCAGGCGTGCTATGTAGCCCCTCCAAGCCTCAGTATCCTCATCTATAGAATGGGGGTCGGAAAACAACAGGGTGGGGGGTGAGATGATTAATGTCAGCTTGCAGTCCAGCCTGGTGTCTGGCGATTATTATACGGTGACACGGGCCTGGCATTATTATTCTTTAATTAGCATAAGCCTTTCCTGCCCTGCCCCGCAGACCATTACTGGGACTTCCACCCGCACCACATGCACAGCGAGTTCGAGAGCTTCCCCGAGAACCACTTCACGGAGCTGCAGAGCGTGCAGGCCCCGCAGCTGCAGCAGCTCTACCGCCACATGGAGCTGGAGCAGATGCACGTGCTCGACACACCCATGGCGCCCACCCACGCCAGCCTTGGCCACCAGGTGTGTGCGGGGCCACCCGGCCTGGCCCGGCCCAGCCCGCGGCCTGCGGTGAGGCCGGCGCTTCGCAGGAAGCTGACACGGGCTCTTACTCAACTCGGCTTCCTGCCTCACAGCGCCAACGGTGGCCAGAGCCTCAACGGCCGCCTCCTGACCCCCCCACTGACCCCGTGACCCCACACCCCTTATCTCCTCTCGCCCCACCACGGACAGAGCCCAGATCATCCCCGCGTCCCCACTGATCCTCCCGAACCTGAAGGCCCGGCCCTGGGCACCTCCCGACCCCCATTCGCTGACCCCTCACGGATCCGGCGCCCAAGTCCCTGCGCCCTGACCTCCACTGACCTCTACGGCCCCTCCTCCTCCCCAGCGACCCTAACCCCAGTGACCTCCACTGACCTTCACGACCCTCACGGACCTCCACTGCCTCTTGGCGCCCTTGCCACCCGCCTACCCAACCCCGTTCGCTCCAGTGCCTGACTCTCTAGCTCCTCCTACCCCCAGGGCTGCTGCCGGGTCCGTGCGCTTCCTTCCCCGGGCCACGCCGCCCCGAACCAGGGAGATGGGTGGGAATTCAGAGGCCCCTTGTCCCCATAACCTGCCCCCTGTGTGGGGTGACCCTGCCTGACCTGCAGGGTGCCCAGCCTTCTCCCAAATCCCTCTGCCCCGCGCCAGCATCCCCTCTTCTCTCACGCAGCCGACCCCCACCTGGCAGCCCTGAGCTTTGAACTGCCCCTCAGTGACCTCAGCCCTCCTTCCACCGCCTTTCCAGGTCTCCTACCTGCCCCGGATGTGCCTCCCGTACCCCTCCCTGTCCCCGGCTCAGCCCAGCTCGGATGAGGAGGAGGGCGAGCGGCAGAGCCCCCCACTGGAGGTGTCTGACGGGGAGGCCGACGGCCTGGAGCCAGGGCCTGGCCTCCTGCACGGGGAGACAGGTAGGGGGCCCAGTCCCACCCCCGACCCAGCCTCGGCCCAGCCGTGACCCGGTCCGTCCGTGCGCCCCGTACCCACTGCAGCCAAGGCCGACGGGCTCGGCAGTCAAGCCACAGGGCTGAGTGCATGTGTATGGGTGTGTGTGTGTGTGTGAGTGCATGAGTGTTTGACTACATGTGTCTTCACGTGTGTTTAATGAGGGCGCCTGGGGCTGTCTGTCCCCGCGGACGTGTCTGAGCACGTGTGCCGAGGCCGAGCGTGGCAGTGGGTGTGCGCATGCTCGCTGGTGACCTTTCCCCAGAGACCACCCCGGGGGGTCCCACGTCAGGGGGAGGCGGACTGGGTCCCCGAGTGGGCGCTGACCACCTCCGGCCGCAGGCAGCAAGAAGAAGATCCGCCTGTACCAGTTCCTGCTGGACCTGCTGCGCAGTGGCGACATGAAGGACAGCATCTGGTGGGTGGACAAGGACAAGGGCACCTTCCAGTTCTCGTCCAAGCACAAGGAGGCGCTGGCGCACCGCTGGGGCATCCAGAAGGGCAACCGCAAGAAGATGACCTACCAGAAGATGGCCCGCGCCCTTCGCAACTACGGCAAGACCGGTGAGGTCAAGAAAGTCAAGAAGAAGCTCACCTACCAGTTCAGTGGGGAGGTGCTGGGCCGCGGGGGCCTGGCCGAGCGGCGCCACCCGCCCCACTGAGCGCAGCCCGAGCCCGCCGGCCGCCAGGCCTCCCCTCTGGCCATAGCATTAAGCCCCGCCCGGCCGGACACAGGGGGGAGGCTCCCAGGGGCCAGGGGCAGGACTGGGGCGGGCCAGGCCTCGCCTCCCCGCCCACCCCCTCCTCCTCCAAGCCCCCGCCCACACCCCTGCTTCGCCTCCCACCAGGACTCCAGCCCCGGCTCCGGAAAGCCACCTGGGCGTCTGGCCCCAGCAAGGGTCAGCTTGCTTAGTACCAGGGGTGCTTCCTTGGGAGTTCGAAGTCATCATGTTTGTGTAAATTGAACCTTCCTCTTTAAGCATCCCTTTCTACCCACACCTCTCCCCCATCAGCTTCCTCAGGAATACCAGTTATTAAAGTTATTCTCAGTGAGTCCTCTTGCGGCACAGAGAGTCTCTTTTAAAATTTTTTGCGCACCTTGTCTGCCCCCCCACCCCCACCCCCGATCTGATCTCTCTTTTTCTCATCTGTCCATCGGGCATTTACCAAGGATACTACCCAGTGCTCGTTGCTGGGGACATGAGAACAGATGACACTTCGTGCCTGACTAGGAGTCAGAGCCGGTGGAAAGAACGAATCCTCAGTTGTTCTTAGAGGAATAAATCATTACAAAGCCCTCTGCGGGCTTCCCTGGTGGCACAGTGGTTGAGAGTCCACCTGACGATTCAGGGGACACGGGTTCGTGCCCCGGTCCGGGAAGATCCCGCATGCCGCGGAGCGGCTGGGCCCGTGAGCCATGGCCGCTGAGCCTGCGCGTCCGGAGCCTGTGCTCCGCAACGGGAGAGGCCACAGCAGTGAGAGGCCCGTGTACCGGAAAAAAAAAAAAAAGCCCTCTGCACCTGAAAAATTCTTTCTCTCAAATGCCTCAATGAGGCTTAAACTCATAACCTTTAGATTATGACCCCAGTGATGGTGATATTAATTAACAATGACAACAACACTGGATTTTCAGGCCATTGTATTACATGGTAACCTTGAGAAGTGGAATCTAATATCATCCCACGTTATAGACTGGGAAACTGAGGCTCATAGATGTCAAATAACTTGTCCAAGGTCACACAGCGAGGCTTCCTGTGTGGGATCCCTGATCCCACCCCACGTGGACCACCATGGCAGTGTGAGGTGGGAAGTTTCATGTGTCCTGAAGGGGGTAACGTGCAGCTTGGTCAGGAGCAGGAATTAAGCCCCGGAGCTCCCGTTGGCCACAGAGCATCCTCACGACATCCATGCTGGCAGGACCCTGATGCGGGTGAACTCCTCCCACGTACCCTAGTGTCTGGTTGCTCTGGCTTCTGGCGCACAGCAGGGGAGAGCCAGAGAAAGATGAGCAGGGAAACCTGTAAGCTTCTTGCTTCCAACAGTAGCAAGAAGAGGTGGCCGACAGCCCGGGAGTGAGGGAACTTTTCTCAGCAACCTGCAGACCTCAGAGAATCCAGATTCTGGGGCCATCCGTGTTGGGGCAGACACCCACACACACCTCCTCGCCCCGAGGGCTCAGACTGGGGAAGCCCAAACATGACACCCCCTACGTGGATCTCTGAGCCCTGAGAGAGGGAAAGTGTGCCCAGTCCCCTTTTAAAGAAGGTCCAGGAACATGAGATGAGGTTTAAATATGGTTAAAATGGAAGAAAAGAATGGATTTCGGTGTTAAAAGGGATGGTAAGTTTTGCCCATGTGGACAATCCTTGTGTACAGAATTCCTCCCTCCGGACTGTGAGGGACAAATGACCTTCCCTGATATTGGGTCTTGCTTAGAGTAGGTCACATGTAATTAGCTTCTTTCTGTGTAGCAACTGATATTCCTGATGTGACCTGAGCGGGGGCAGGGGGAGGGTGTGTGGAGGCAGTCACAGGGGGCAGAAGGTCACAGAAGAACACTGACAGGGGAAGCCAGGACCCCGGGGCAGCCCAGCCCAGGGCGGTGCATGTAACCACCGCCAGGCAAGGATGTGTTTGGCCCATCAGCCTCAGGGGTATGGGTCCCACACGCTCCCACCGCACAATTTGCCAAGGACATACAGACAGAGCTTGGGGTACCCCTGAGGTTTATTGAGGGCTGGGGGGGCAGAAGCTGTCATATTGGGCTGGCAGGGGAGGGGACGGGGCCAGCCGGGAACAATGGGGTCCCATGTTCTCCTGGAGAGCCCTTGATCTCTGGAATTTGTCTATATTTAGCAGGTGGCTGGGCAGGGTGCAGATAAGGAGGGCCTGGGGAGGGGGTGGCCCCTTATATAGTAGGGGGACGGATCCCTGCTCAGATTCTCTTTCGGTGGCCCGTGCGTGCTCAGTTCCTGGTGTGACCTCTCCCAAGATGCCTGAGCCAGGGAAGAAACCAGGTAGCTCCAGGCCTGGGGTTGGGGCTGAGCGTGGGGCAGGGAGGGCTGGGGACATCTGCAATTGGGGGTGGGCCTAGGAGTGAGTTCCTGAGGGGGTTGATGAGGTCGAGGCCTCTGAGCCCCAGCACAGGGGCACCGTCCTCCTGGGTCCTTTTTTTGATTCTCAGTTTCTCCTTCTCATCCTTCTGATGAGAGTGAGAGTAAACCAGGGTCAGGGGCACAGAGTGGGAGAGAGCCAAGGCAGGAAGTGGGCCATCACCCCACTCTCAGGATGCAGAAGACCCCTTCCCTGCCTCCATGCCCATCTCCTGCAGCAAGGTTAGGCCTGGGCTTGCCTTTTGGGAAAAGGCTGCTGCAAGAAGGACCCCAGGATGACTCTAGACTTGAGCCAGGCTCCCTGAATGCTCTTGGACAAGTCCCTCCCCTTCTGGGTCTCAGTTTCCCCATCTATACAAAGAGGGGTTAGGTTGGTTCCTTCCAGCTCTGAGATTGTCTGCTTTATGAGCCTGCACCCCTGTGGCCCGCACACCAGTCATGACCCCCACAGTGGGGTATTGCAGCCCTTCTGCTCTGGGAGAATATGGTCAAGAGGCCCCTGATCCCCAGCCAAGGGCAGAGAAAGTCACAGCCCAGAGTCCCATTCCTGGCCTGTGCCCTTACCAAGGTTGTCCGTGTCAGGGATCATCCCCCCAGCCCCAGCTCCCTCCCAGGCCAGCCTTATCTCGGTTGCTGATTCTTAGCCTGAAACCCTTAGAGGACAAATTTAGCCACGTCCAAGTAGGCAGAGTACTGGTCCGTTGCCAAGCGCCCCAGCTGGTGGGGTGAAAGGGGGATGGGCTTCCACAGGCTGAGAGGGTGGGGTATCCAGGGACACACCTAGCAAAATTCTTGTATGGAGGTTGGACCACAGGCCTGGCTCTCCTACCTGCTGGCTATGTGATCTTGGGTAAGTCACTTAACCTCTCTGAGCCTCAGAGTCCTCATCTGAGAAATGGACATAATAACTGCACCTACCTCATAGAGCCGTTGGAGCATTAAATGAGGTGATGCATTAAAGTGCTTATCGTCGTATTTAATAAGAAGTGCTATAGGGGTGGTGTACATGGGCAAGCCAGGGGCCCCTGCAGATTCCATTTGCCCCTCAGTTTCCGCCTTCAGCAAGAAGCCACGGTCAGTGGAGGTGGCCACAGGCAGCTCTGCCGTGTTCGAGGCCGAGACAGAGTGGGCAGGAGTGAAGGTGCGCTGGCAGCGGGCAGGCAGTGACATCAGTGCCAGTGACAAATATGGCCTGGCAGCCGAGGGCAAGTGGCACACGCTGACAGTGAGGGATGTGGGCTCTGCCGACCAGGGGTCCTATGCAGTCATCGCTGGCTCCTCCAAGGTCAAGTTTGACCTCAAGGTCTTAGAAGCAGGTAAGACCTTGGGCAGCCTTCCCTGAAGTTGGAGCTACTGGGAGCAGGGGCAGCCCCACCACCTCTCCTTCAACCAGAGCGCAGAAGATGTTTTCTCACTTTCTTACCTTTGCTTCGGCTGTGCCCTCAGCCAGCAATGGCCTTTTCCCGTCTTTTGCAGCAAGACCTTTCTGAGTGTCCCCACGTGGCTCCCTGGCCTGTCTCGGCCGTTGCGGAGGTGGGGGAAGTTCAGAGATGAATAAGACATAAGCTGCCTTCCCACTGGACATGCCCACGCAGATGGGAACTCAGTGGGCTGTGTGTGCTGGCAGGGAAGCCCCATGAGCTTATGGGTGTGGAGGGAGCCCCAGCCCAGCCCGGGGGGCTGGACCAAGACCAGAGCCTGGGGAAGGACAGGAGGGATGTTTAGGCTGACCCCCTGGAATGTGGGCACAGACGCCAGTGAGGGCGAGGAGAAGGTGAGAGGCAGGCTGGATGAACCCTTGTACACACTGCAAAGGCGGGAAGGACCAGGGACAAGAAGAGGGGCTCTCTGGTTAGAAGCTGCTCCACGACCCCCCGTCTGATCCCCTCCAGGGAAGGCAGAGCCTGTGCCAGGCCCTGCTCCCGCCCCTGCTGAGGCTCCTGGAGCCCCTGGAAAAGCCCTGGCCTTGGCCACTGAAGTGGAAGGAGGTTCCCCGAGTCCTGAAGGTGAGAGGGGCGGGTCAGGGAGGCTGGGTCAGTGGATGGGGGTGTCCCAGGGCAGGTCTCAAAGGCCTCTGTCCACAGGGTCAAGCTCAGCAGCCCCCGATGGACCCAGTGTCCCTGATGATCCCATCGGCCTCTTTGTGATGAGGCCACAGGATGGCGAGGTGACCGCGGGTGAGTGCGGGGCTGCTGCACCCAGGGTGAGGTGGGGAGGGAGGCAGCAGGGCATCCCCAATTGTCACCCCTCTCCTGCAGGTGGCAGCATCACCTTCTCAGCCCGCGTGGCAGGGGCTAGCCTCCTGAAACCACCTGTAGTCAAGTGGTTCAAGGGCAAGTGGGTGGACCTGAGCAGCAAGGTGGGGCAACACCTGCAGCTGCACGACAGCTACGATCGGACCAGCAAGGTGGGACCTGTGGGGCACGGGGGGCACGGGGATGCATGGAAAGGGGACCTGGAGAGCCCCTGGAAGGCATGGGGGGCACAGAGAGGCAGGGGGCACCATGAGACTTGAGGCACAGAGGAGGTGCACAGAAGGTCATGGGGAGCCTGGGAAGCTGGTTGGGGGGCCAGGGCCACACAGGGAGCATGGGGAGGCTCAGAGGAGGGTTATGGGGAGGCACAGGGGACCTGTGGGACGTGGGGGGCTCGGAGGGCATGATAGTCTCAAGGGGGCATAAATAAGCCTTGGGGGGCACCAGTCAGTGAGGGTGTAAAGGCCCCAGATGGATGGGTGTCAGAGCTCAAGGGACCCTCAATGATCAACCATAACAATTCTTCACTATACAGACAAGGAAACCAAAGCTTGAGAGTTTATTGTTGCTGGTCCCAGGTCACTCAGAGCCAGGCCTAGAACCTGTGCTTTGACTCCCAGCCTTTGCTCCTCCCACTCTTCCACAGTCCCGGCCCAGGCAAGGGGGCTTCTGGCAGGGCAGGGTA